TGCGGAGCGGCGCAGCGGAGCGGGCGACGAGCAGGGACAAGGCGGCGGAGGGGAGCGGGCAACGAGCAGGGACAAGGCCGCAGAGGGGAGCGGGCAACGAGCAGGGACAAGGCCGCGGAGGGGAGCGGGCAACGAGCAGGGACAAGGCGGCGGAGGGGAGCGGGCAACGAGCAGGGACAAGGCGGCGGAGGGGAGCGGGCAACGAGCAGGGACAAGGCGGCGGAGGGGAGCGGGCAACGAGCAGGGACAAGGCGGCGGAGGGGAGCGGGCAACGAGCAGGGACAAGGCGGCGGAGGGGAGCGGGCAACGAGCAGGGACAAGGCGGCGGAGGGGAGCGGGCAACGAGCAGGGACAAGGCGGCGGAGGGGAGCGGGCAACGAGCAGGGACAAGGCGGCGGAGGGGAGCGGGCAACGAGCAGGGACAAGGCGGCGGAGGGGAGCGGGCAACGAGCAGGGACAAGGCGGCGGAGGGGAGCGGGCAACGAGCAGGGACAAGGCGGCGGAGGGGAGCGGGCAACGAGCAGGGACAAGGCGGCGGAGGGGAGCGGGCAACGAGCAGGGACAAGGCGGCGGAGGGGAGCGGGCAACGAGCAGGGACAAGGCGGCGGAGGGGAGCGGGCAACGAGCAGGGACAAGGCGGCGGAGGGGAGCGGGCAACGAGCAGGGACAAGGCGGCGGAGGGGAGCGGGCAACGAGCAGGGACAAGGCGGCGGAGGGGAGCGGGCAACGAGCAGGGACAAGGCGGCGGAGGGGAGCGGGCAACGAGCAGGGACAAGGCGGCGGAGGGGAGCGGGCAACGAGCAGGGACAAGGCGGCGGAGGGGAGCGGGCAACGAGCAGGGACAAGGCGGCGGAGGGGAGCGGGCAACGAGCAGGGACAAGGCGGCGGAGGGGAGCGGGCAACGAGCAGGGACAAGGCGGCGGAGGGGAGCGGGCAACGAGCAGGGACAAGGCCGCAGAGGGGAGCGGGCAACGAGCAGGGACAAGGCCGCGGAGGGGAGCGGGCGAATCTACTTCCCAGCGCTTCCTCTCGGAGGAATGAGCAGAGACCAAGCCGGGGGCGCTGGAGAGTTTTATTGCTTCTGGGATGTGACCGCACTGCTGTGACACGCGCCGCAGAGAAGCCCCCAAGAGTCTCACCCCCAGGGCGAATTCAAACCACAGACGTTAGGACTGTGGGCTCGGATGCTTCCCCCGGCAATACACCAAGAGCCAGCAGCCTCCGGCAGGCGGCACCTCTCGGGGTGAGGGCGGGGCCAGCAGCTCGTCCCTGCCAAGGGAGCGTCTCTGCAGCACCCGCTGGCTTCCCTGGGCCGCGGCGCTGCTGCCGGGCTGGGCTGCCCTCACTTTCCCTGGGGCTCTCCGGAAGCTGCTGGGCAAATGCCAATCAGCAGGCTGTCACCCAGCCCCCTTGGCACCATTTTGCCTGGGCACGTCCCTTCCCCTCCCAGCGCCTGCACGGAGGTGGGCAGGTCCCAGAGCAGGAGTCCCTGACAGCGCCCAAGGACAGGGGGTCTCGGGACACCGAGGCTGCGGGTGGAGAGTAACGAGGGAAATGCAAAGACAGGACGGGGCAAATGTGACCTCCCCCTTCCCCTATGTCAATTTACAGGGCAGCCCGCAGCTCAGCGCACGTCCCTTCCCCTCCCAGCGCCTGCACGGAGGTGGGCAGGTCCCAGAGCAGGAGTCCCTGACAGCGCCCAAGGACAGGGGGTCTCGGGACACCGAGGCTGCGGGTGGAGAGTAACGAGGGAAATGCAAAGACAGGACGGGGCAAATGTGACCTCCCCCTTCCCCTATGTCAATTTACAGGGCAGCCCGCAGCTCAGCACATCGGCGACGGTCCCTCCTCTGTGCCTGCAGGTTCTCCACGGCGTGCAGCCCGCGCTGTGTCCCACGCCCGCGATCTACCCGCCCGCCTGGAATTCCCTGCACGCCGGGTCCGCTGGCCCGCACGTGGC